TTGTTATAAGTCAAATCATGGGTTAAAGGTTTTAATTTGAAATCCAATGACTCAAACCAAAATTACCTGGATCTAATTAATTGAGTTGGTTCAAGATAGGGTTGTCGAGTTAATCCAAAGTGACCAACCTAAAATTAATGAAGGCTCTCCTCAAAAATCCAAGATTAGAAAAAATTACACTTGTCTCTATAACTTAAACCCCTCCAGTACTTAAATATTTAAAGAAACTACATGAAACAAAATTAGCAGTTGCCAAAAATTTTAGAACTAAAATTTGTTATTATAAAAATTCAATGCAAATTTAAAAAATATATGTAGTTTTAACAGATTCTTAATTTTTTTTTTATCTCAACATTATCAAAAGTTTTAATAGAGTACTTTTGGGAAGTTAAATGTACTATAGTTATGGTTTTTGAAAATTTATAACTATTGGTGGCTTCTATACCTATAATTGATCTTTACTGTAGGTACAAGTTTTCTTTTTATACATACATTAAGTTATTTTCATAAATAAAGTAATATTATTCTTAGAAATTTTTAAAATATGTAGGTATATATATATATATATATATTTGAAATGCAAAGAGAAATTTATTATGTGTTGCGGGTACTAGGAGTACACCAGACCAACACCAAATTGAGAAAGTTACAAATTGAGCGACAAAATACAATCAATCATGGGGGGATGGAAGTGCCTTTGGCTGTATGTGGGACTTTGCTTGTTGCTTGCTATTCTGTTACCTATCCTTTTGTTGCTGCAAATGTTGGTAAGACAATCAACTGGATTATGGAGCCAATCTGATAGGGAGAAGACACAACCTCCTTTTCTACTTTTTAGCCACCTAAATGTCCTAATTTGTACCAGCTCCAAGAGCCTCATTTTGTCTGATTCCTTCTCTCGAAAGATCTTCTCATTTCTAGCAAGCCATATTGTCCAAACAATACCAAACCAAATGCATTCCCATCCCTCCTTCCATTTCGCCCTTCTTAATGGATTTGGGTGCTGCTAAAACACCTTCCAACAGTCTTTATCAAGCACATGTATAAGACCCCACCATTTGAAACAATCATTCCAAAGATGCCAAGCAAAATTACAGTGAATAAAGAGGTGGCTAGTATTCTCTGCTTCCTTACCACATAAAAGCACATTTGCAATCTTCAAGAGCTTGAATAATACCTCTTTTATGCAGATTAAGCTTTGTGGGGATTTTGTCCTGCAGTAATTGCTTCAAGAAAATATGTAGGTATATTTAAATTGTATGCACACAACTTAGTAAATTATAAGTATAGATAACTATACTTACAAAATTGTTAAGTGTAAACGAAAAAATAATGTAGGCATATGGCAATTTGGATGTAGTGGATCCAGTCAGTTAGAGCTGGTACTTGTTAGTAAGCTTTTTCTCAACATTAATTTCAAACGGGAAGGTTTTAAAAGGATGGGAGAGATTATATAGTAAAACACTAAAGCCCACATCAATAGAGAGTTGTGATTGAATATGATATATAAGTGTGGTACCAATGATAATTTAAATTTAAGTTTTTAAAACCCATGAACCTTCACTGTTAGAATTGTTAGTTTAGCAACAGACTTTAGCTCGAATTGTTTTAGGTTTGAAAATAACTGTTAAGACTGACCATGGGAGCAAAGAGCAATAATTGGACATTTTCACCGTCGAATTGGATATAATTGAACAGGGTGGGTTGTAGATGTACTGAGCAAGAAAGGAAGATAGGACTATTTTGTCCAAAAACATCTTGTGCCAGAATATGATGTAAACAATTCAATAGAGTACTTTTGTATTCTCAGTAAATATTAATATTTTTATTGTTTGAAAAAACCAAATAACAATAGCGGGTAAATGGCAGTGGGATGGCAAAAAGTAAGTAGTAAATAAGAGATGATGATTGTTATAAATATTTGATGGGTTTTTTTTAATTTGTGCTTTTAAGGGCACATAGTAAATGATATAATTAATGTATTTTTTTATAATTAATGTATATAAAAAGTGTTAACTATTTAAATAACTTAATAATAATTTTTTTTATTGAAAATAAGATATTTGAGTTTTAAGTCGTATTAGTAGGCAAGTGAGATGAGTAAGGGATAAAAAAAATTTACCTCTCGTTGTGCAATCAATATAAAAAAAAATTTACATAAAAAAGACAAATATTGATTTGAACAGGGTGAGCAATAATTGGACATTTTCACCGTCGAATTGGATATAATTGAACAGGGTGGGTTGTAGATGTACAGAGCAAGAAAGGAAGATAGGACTATTTTGTCCAAAAACATCTTGTGCCAGAATATGATGTAAACAATTCAAGGGTTAGAGTACTTTTGCATTCTTAGTAAATATTAATATTTTTATTGTTTGAAAAAAAAAAACAAATAACAATAGCGGGTAAATGGCAGTGGGATGGCAAAAAATAAGTAGTAAATAAGAGATGATGATTGTTATAAATATTTGATGGGTTTTTTTAATTTGTGCTTTTAAGGGCACATAGTAAATGATATAATTAATGTATTTTTTTATAATTAAGGTATATAAAAAGCGTTAACTACTTAAATAACTTAATAATAATTTTTTTTATTGAAAATAAGATATTTGAGTTTTAAATCGTATTAGTATGCAAGTGGGGTAAGTAAAGGATAAAAAAAAATTATCTCCCGTTGTGCAATTAATATAAAAAAAATTTTACATAAAAAGGACAAATATTGATTTGAACTTAATCAATTTAAAGTATTTACATATCAATTATGTTAAAATAAATGTCAATTTTAATAATTTTTTATGTAAATTAATTATACAAATTCGTGTTTGATTATATAATAATTAATAATTGCTTGATATTAAATGATTAATAAAAATATATTTAAAAATAATTAAGTGTGTTAATCTATTTATAAGTTTTATTACAAAAATAATTAATTTTATTTCAATAATAATAAAAAATAAAAAATAAAAAAAATATACAAGTATGAATCATACACGAAAAGATATGAAGTAATAAAACTAATTACAACATATAAGCCTTTATATATGTTTTGAAGTAAATATTTATTAAACAATATTTAACATACCAAATACAATTTGCCGTACTAAATAATAAATCTAAAATCCATTGCTATAATTAGTTGCCTAACGAACCACTTATAATGTAAATTCATTTCTCTGACAATCTCTAACAAGAAACAGGCTCAATTATCAATGATGCCACTCGATTTTTACATTTATCATCAGGAGAACCATGCGCGTCTCCATGTTGATAGGTGAAATGAGAGATCCGGGCAAGGTTAATTGCTGATTCTACAAAATGCTTATCGAATGGAGAACCTTCAACTCGACCTTCGTTCATCTTCTTCCAGGATTCATCTATCAGATCGCGCATGTGCTCACGGGCAACTACCTCAGAACAACCCATTTCATTCATGTAGCATAGTAAGGAGCTTGCAGTTTCACCTCTCTCCAACTCAGCCTGTATTACAAAATTAACGAATATGACTTTGTTAAAGAACTTGTCCCATTTTGGTTCATGCAGTTTTATAATATAACAACGTACGCACCTTAGATGTACCAAGGTCATTACAAAGTCGGAAAACAAGAGACGGGCAAAGGATGATATTGTGGCATTTTTCCAAGCTTTCAAGTGCCTGATTTGTGATCGTAGGTGTAATCAAGAAGTAGGTGTGAACCAAAATTAGAATTCCTGACACTGAAACCCAAGCATTTTTGAGGTAGTTGTTGAATGTTGGAGTTCTTTTGTTTAGGCGCCACTTTGCTTCTACTAAGAAGGCTTTAAGTAAATCACCCCACTGAAGAAACATGAATTTTAGGTCTCAGTTAAATGAAGAACCAAGATATAAGAATATGAAGATGGGATTCCTAACTAATTTTTTTTTTTTCAAAACTAATTAATTATTCTCTCTATATGCATTATACTAAAATACTGCTTATTTTTAAAATTTTAAATTTAGATTTGGTTGTGATATTTATGTAAGAAATAAATGATTTGATTTTACATTTTCACATATTTTAGAAGTGTAATACTTTTAACTTATTATTGCAATTGAATTTCATGTATAAATGAAATTTCTGTTTCTCATAATAATAATAATAAAAAAAAGAATATTTATAAAGACATAAAAGAGATTAATCATAATCTTACCGCTTTTGCTAGGTAAGGAAGAATATTTTGTCCATGGTCCTTTAGAGTGTCATAAGCCAGCTCATTGACAGTGTTGTATAATGCTAAGAAGCACAGTTTCATGTAGTCTGGTAGATTTTTCACTGCGTTGACATCCCATCTGAAAAGAAAAAAGAAAAGATAATTACAATAATTAGCAAAGTATGTTAGTGATGAGGAACAAGAAGAAGATATTCAGTAGTTATTTAGATTATTTAGAATTCTTAAGTAATTATTTTTATTCAAATGTAATTATCATTAGTTTTCTACTTTTATTAAGATTAGATCTTTTATCAAGAGTCTTAAGTCTTAGTTAAATTAGAAAATTTAAATTTCAAGTTATAGACTAATTAAAATAGGAGTTCTGGTAGGAGTCTTAATAGTTTCTATATAAATATGCATGTAGTTTCTTTCATCATTAAGTTAATAATATTTAGAATTTTCCAGTAAATTTTGCTTTTAATTGTCTAATGCAATCTTGTTTGTGTAATGCAACTAGCCTTAGGTGTGATGCTTAAGGTTTTTATTCTCTTTAAGTGTGATGTCTAAAGAAACTTAAATGTGACTCCTAGTTTTTTCTATCATTTTCATTATTTGTTTTATATTTCTTCCTCTTTCCTATCCTAAACTGACTCTATTTTACTGTTCACACATATTATTCACAGTAAATATTTACCTAAACAGCCTCAAAATCCCCAAGCCCACCATACCCCCTAACCTTTCCTGCATCAGTTAGATTTTGTTTTTTTGGGCCGAATTGTGAGATAAATTACCTAAGAATGAAACGTTTTATGAGAAAATTAGCAAATTACAAACCTATGAACGGCATTTGTGAACAGCTCTAATTCATCCAAGGTGCCATAAACATCATATGCATCATCAATGGTGGTTATAAGTGTCGTCACTTTTGTTAGCCCTTTTCGACATTTGCTGAATTGGGGTAGGGGGACCATCCCAACTGTCCAAAAGAAGCATTCCATGAGCCTATCCCTGGCGAAATTCAACTTACTAGCCAGCCCTATATCCTCCCACCACCTAAAAGCGCCACACAAATGTGAGTTAAACAATTTCTAATACCCAATCAAAAAAAAAAAAAAAAGGAAAAAAGAACGATGTCCTACTTTGACATATCTTGAAGATCACTTAGGAGTGTTGCCAGGACTATATTGAAGTCGAGTTTTGCCAGTTCAAGTAGTTTAGGAATAGCATCTGTCTTTTTACTGTATATTTCTATATATTCTCGAGCTTCTTGCCTTAGTATTCTACGATGCAACGGCAGCTCTAATGCCTTGATCACCTCTTCTCTTAAACATGTGCTGCTATCGTGTAGATTCATTAGATGCTTTCTTGTAAATTCAAGAGCTTCATCCATGAGATCTTCTCCTTTGAAGGAGAGAAACGAAGCTTCATATAAACTCACCATTCCTTCAACATCCATGGAAAGACAGTCCATGAAACTGCCTTCATTGTCTTTGAAGCGTTTAAACACATCTGTATTACATATTTCCCACAACTTAGTTAATGCACTTTTGAACAAATTTCCAATTCATGATTTACTATAATTTGGCAAACTTTGTGCTTCCTTATTTCTTACCTTGAGAGATTTCATAGCCATGTTGTCTAAGGAGCCGGAATCTGAGGGCTGTAGCATGAAGACTTTCCCATGCTACAACATGACATTCCTCCAAAGAGACAAATCCATCAAGGGCCCTCTTTATATCCATTTCAAAACGATGCCCCAATCCTAACCGTTGGATGTCATCAATCATTTCGAGCAAGCTCAATGACCCTTCATTATCTGCATCATTTATAACACACCTTATCTCCTGCTCTAGCCTCTCTGCCCTTTTGCTGTAATTAGAATCCTACAAAATTAAGACAACATACTCATGCTTGAGCATGTATAATTTTCAGAAAAAAAAGAGAAGAAAAAAGGAATTTTCAGCGTTTTAATTAATCATTACCACATGATCAATTTTTAAGGACTGTAGATACTCATAGCTCCAAATGGATGGCTGGTAATTAGCTGATCTTCTTTCAACGACAGAAGGAGAAATATTAGAGCTCAATGAACGGTAGACTTGGTTGGTTTTGAAAGAGGTAAGGGATGGTCTTTGGTGAGTGATTTTTGGGAAAATGCATATGTTGGGGTAAAACTGAGAAATGCAGGAAAGATTGCCAAGAGCCATGACTGATTTTTGGATTGATGCAAATGCTACCTCTATGCTCTTTTTGGATGAATGCCTTACTACGCAGATATGTGCTCCTTTATACGGAAGGTAGGAACATAGGAGGGCCCAGAACAATTATAATTGTAAAATTAGGACTTAGCCCCGTTTGGTATAGTGGTTTTGGGGTAATAGTTAGCAGTTTTACCTAAACTGTTAAATATAAGTATTTGGTAAATTTATATATTTCTAAACTGCTATAAATAAAGTGTTTGGTAAAATTTTTATCTAACGGTTTGAGACAAGCGAATAGCGGTTAGAGTCTAAACCGTTAGTGGATTGAAAAAGTTAGTTTATTTAGCTTTTTGTACCAAACCGCTAACGGATTAAAATTTTTTAATTTTATTTACAAATTTATCCATTTTAATTTTTTAATTTGTGGTCACATTTTTTAATTAATAATTAT